AGGATGGGCTGACAACAACAACCAAAACAAAGGAGAATCCTGTCCGGCGTTGGTCAAGCGGTCACTTTGCCCGCCGAGGGGTTAACTTTTGTTGGGCACGCGTCACCAGAATTCCTACAAAAACACACAATGAAAATCCATCAAAATGGTCTGTGGTCAAGGGCGGGCCCTAAAACGATTTGAACAAACTGGTTTTCCCGGAAAAACGCACGGAAAATTGTGTGAAAATGCAGAAAGCAACAGCTTAGGCTATAATTAAGCGGTTTGAGCACCAACAATTTAAAGTCAAATAATTGGGGGATTGTAAAGCGGTTTTCCGCTGCAATAAGCTGTTCTGATTTGTGTTTTATGATTGCACATTCAGTACGATCTTTTAAATACAAAAAATAAAAGTATTTTGAATTAATTATTTGTTTTAGATTTTAATGACCACTAGATAATTTTTTAACAAAACAAGGTTTCCGAAAATAGACAAGAATAACCAATACTAGTTTAAAATACTTTTTGTTTACTTTCTTTCTGTAGAAAACTTTTTTAATAAATTCACTATGTTTAGGACTTAACAAGGCTTAAAAAGATAATTCCTATCATTCAACAATTTTAATACAATATAAAAAAAATATATTTTTGTTAATTATATTTTATAAAATATATTTACTTAATATTAATTAAATATTTTGAGGGAAGCTATAATTTGTATCATTAAGCAAAAAAAGAGCAGTTATCTAAACTGCAGTTTTTATACCCTTGCAGAGGGTATTATAATTTTGGTCAAAAGTGTGCAACGCAGTGAAGGAGACATCTCCGACCCTATAAAGTATATATATTCTTGATCAGGATCACCTCCTGAGTTGATATAGCCATGTCCGTCTGTCCGTCTGTCCGTCTGTCTGTCCGTCTGTCTGTCCGTCTGTCTGTCCGTCTGTCTGTTTCTACGCAAACTAGTCTCTCAGTTTTAAAGCTATCGAATTGAAACTTTGCACACACCCTTCTTTCCTTTGCACGCAGTATATAAGTCGGAACGGCCGGGATCGGCCGACTATATCCTATAGCTGCCATATAACTGATTGATCGGAAATGCCATAACTCTGCTGTTTGTTAAGTTAGGAAGTTGGGACTCTCTATGGGTATTATATTTGGCCAATCAATCCGACGTACCAAATTTCATAAGGATCGGCCGACTATATCCTATAGCTGCTATATAACTGATTGATCGGAAATGCCATAACTTTGGTGTTTGTTAAGTTAGGAAGTTGGGATTTTCTATGGGTTATATATTTGGCCAAGTAATCCGACCTACCAAATTTCATAAGGATCGGACGACTATATCTTATAGCTGCCATATAACTGATTGATTGGAAATGCCATAACTTTGGTGTTTGTTAAGTTAGGAAGTTGGGACTTTCTATGGGTTTTATTTTTGCCCAATCAATCCGACATATCAAATTTCATAAGGATCGGCCGACTATATTCTATAGCTGCCATAAACATAACTGAACGATTGGAAATGCCATAACTTTGGTGTTTTTAAAGTTAGGAAGTTGGGATTTTTTATGAGTATTAAGAATGCATCATATGAATAATTTTGGAGAATATAATTTGCAGAATATTCTGCAAGGGTATTTCAACTTCGGTTCCGCCCGAAGTTAGCTTTCCTTTCTTGTTAGTATCTAGTTTCGCTTTTTTGCAATAAAAAGTTTCTTCTCCCAATTCAATCGATCGACGCCCCTTTAACCCCATTGAAACCCTATATAGCCATCGATCATGATCTCGCTTCCTTCCGCAAAAAATTCCCACAGTGCGAAAATCGGCGAAGGATTGCGATTGAGATTAGGAAAAGGAACCGAGCCTGGCGAAAAAGAAATTTACGAGCGATCAAATAACCGAGGCCAGGTATCAAAGGGTGCAGAATCCTGCCAAAGGTCCTCGGGCCGGGTTCAAATGTGTCACGTCTTATGATGTCACTGCTGGAGAAGCTGCAGCAGCTACCCCAGTGCGCAGATAGTCATCGGCCTTCTTCGGCTGCGTCCTCATCGTCATCCTCGTCCTGACCCCGCTCCTCGTCGGGTTCACTGTAAATTACGCGCAGAGGTGAAATGCAAACAAAGACGGATCGTCTTTGCCCTTGCCAAAGGTCTGTCTCGAGGTCTCCAACCCTTGCTCGCCGCTTTTCTTTTCTTTTCCCTACCTTTTCCCCTTTTCTTGCGCTCCTTTTTGTGACGAATTTAATGATTTTTGCCTCAAAACTGAAGCGATTTTTCATTGACCCAACGCGGGGTGAGTTCAGAGTTCGTCTTGGTTTGGCCTGAGTCTCTGTTATGCCAGCTTGAACTGGCAAATGCGTTCACCCGTGAAGACGCGGCTCTAAGGATATGTTTCCGGGTCCGACTAGGGCCTGGTTTTTGGGTCATTGCCGTATTAAGCCGAATTTATGGCAATCGAATGCCAATAGTCATGTAGATTAATGGCAATGGGTGCTCAAAGGTGAAATATTTAAGCTACGGTCTTTGAATTTGGATGGGTCAGGCAGAAAGAATACCTTGACCTATCCTTTTGGATTAAATGTTTTAAAAAAATATCCTACCAAAGATTCTATCCCCAAAAACGTATTTAATTAATGAAAGTAAGAATAAATTACTTTGTAAAAGATATTTTACTAAGGTCGTGTTTTTAAAAAATATTTTTTCATATATTTAGTTAATATGCAATAATGATATTTAAGTGAAACCAAGAGTATACCAAAACAATTTATTTATTTGTATTTTGTTTTCATTCTATTCAACCTTGAAATAACATAGCTACGAAAGGACCTTCAAGAAGATAAGATAATTTTGCACTAGAAATATTTTATAGACAAAGCTGTAAAATTTCGAAAAATCTTATACATTTAAGCATAATAATAGTAAAACGTGTCAAAGTTTTTCAAAAAAAAGTCTAGTTAATATAGTATTATAATATATTGTAATTATCTTCTTTGCACATCTCAACAGCCATGCATTGATTTCTATATTACACAAAGAAAACTACCCATAAAGTATATTTTTTGAGCTACAACAAGCAAATCTCTGCCACAATATCAAACACTTTAACCATCAAAACTACATTCATGAAAAAAGGGAAAATAGGCCAAATATGAACAGACTTTTCACTCATCCACTGAACATGCAAATGACCGTTTTGCGAGGGGAACAATGGCTTGGATCTTTCAAAATAATTTGATGCTACATTTGTATGCACAATATGGATGGGCAGGAGGAGGTGGAGGAAGGTGAGCGGGGTGCCGGAAATCGGGAATTGGGAGTAGACCAGCACGCTGACCCGAAATTATAAAGTTACAATAGCGCCGGCAGGCAACCCTTTGCTACCCCCGAACGAATCGAATTACAGGGGCTCTGCCGGACCGAGGACCATCACCATCACCATTACCATTACCATTACCCGTGGACCGACCCTTGGACAGCGTTGTCACCTCCGGGTTTGCTGGGCTTGTTAGTCGCGCCGCCCTTCGGAGCTACGGCGCTCATGTGGGTATTCAAAATAGCTCGATGCCAGCCCAAGGATTTGACCAAACAAATCCCTTCTAATTTCGAACAGAGAGCCGCGCATGTGCAGCAGATTAAATGTTGGACGCTGTGCAGCTTTCGTTGCACAAACTCGGGCAAACTGGTTTTGGATTTCGTATGCCTATGCCTATGCCCATGCCAGGATGCTGGGCTGTCCATCCATCAAAGGACTTTGGACGCTGAGGGGAAAAACAACAAGTCATTTGAAGTTTTAATAGATGCTGCATCCTTTTGTTGGGAAAAGTAGCTAAAACTGGTTCCTAAACCAGACCAACCCTTTTCTCTGGTCGGAAATTATATTTTTAATTTTATTTCCTTCGATTCGAGGATGTTTTCCCTGGGAAATGTCTTATGCGGTGCCTGCCTTTATTAAAAGAAATTTTACAATTTATTTTGATAGAATTTATCTCTTGCCGCTTAATGGGCACTTTGGGTTATGCCACCTTGAGAGACTTTGGGAAAATAAAAAGGGATTTAAAAATTCATAATTGCACTGACAATAAAAGGGCTATAAATTATCAAAGGAAACTCTGAATATTTACTAAAATTTGCGAAGAAACTACAAATAGTTTGGGAAGAGGAACCCAGAAGATTAAATCCGCAATTTGCCACGAGTCGGTCACTTAATCAAAAATTCCAGTTCAACCCTTGGCCGCACTTCAGCTGACCGCTGGTCCTCATCCAAACTATCATTGGCATTGTTCCGCATCCTCATCCCCCCATTCTTTTCACGGAGAAGGGTCAACATGCGGCACGCGCGAATGGTCAGGAATCTGTGTCCTGTGCGATTGCAGCCGACACATTTAACGGATACGGCAAACAAAGCAAGGATTTCGATTTGCAAAAACATATATTATGCTTTCATTAAGCGGGCTTTGTTATGTAAATTGCGCAAAAGCATTTTCCACCAACAGACATGTCGGCACTTGGTTCAGTCTCGAAATGAAAAAAACTAATAAGGTTGCTTTTAAACGGTTGGCAATTACAATTACAACTAAAAATAAAACTGATTAAGTTAGATTATGATATTAAAAATTGAGCCTGCAGTTGGAATTATATTTCATTAAAAAAAACAAAATATTATTTTTGAAACAATAAATGGATTTAAATTAACTAGATATTTAAAATCTAACCTTATTAACCAACATTTATTTTTTTAAAAAGAGTGAGTTTTTTTTTTTAAGAGTGAGCTAGATACAATCATGCAAATTACAAAAACCTTTCAACAGGAACCGGCAATATTCTATGCCGGAAATATATATATAATATTTTTTTGGCATAGATTTTATATTTGTTTTGGCGTTTTTACAGGCAATGTATACTCATGTATTCTACATGTCAGGGGCTGTAAATTTAAGACGAGCGCCAAATGAGAATTCTTGTGGTATTTATTATAGTATTTTTTCATTAACGAATCGTAAATTTTCAACTTTTTAGCTACGGTCACTCTGAAAGTGAACTTCCCGCGAGATGCTTTTAATTTTTTAGTTTTTTTATGTTTTATGACATATATTAATGAATTAGCTCATTGAAACTCAGCTTAAATGGACAACTGCAGTAAGTATTAAATGATGATTACAATATTTTCGTGTGACATTACAACATATGTTTGATTTGTTACATTTAAGATTTCACCATGGATTTGGAGAACAACAACAACACGCAGTTAACCGGAAAGGAACCGGAAAAATTTGCGGAGAAGCGAAAATCTGTAATTACCTCCGATGACAAGGCAGGTGAAACCAAAAGACTGAAAGTGGCGGATCCCGTTGTGAAGGCCACACAACGTCCGCCCACGCAGAGTCCGAAAAAACGTCTCCAACTGAACGGGAAGCCCAAGCACAACAAAGATCTTAACTTCACTTACGGCAACTATAAACACTATTATGGCAAGCGAATCCTGGATAAGGACTTCCACGATATTCGCCTGGACGTGCTAGGCACCAAGCCCGAATTGTTCCGGGGTAAACAGCTCCTGGACATTGGATGCAACTCCGGGCATCTGTCGATCCAGATTGCAAGAACCTTCGAGGCCAAGAGTCTCGTGGGCCTGGACATAGATCGTGGCCTGGTCAAGGATGCGCAAAATACCATCAACCACTTAAAGCGACAAGTGGACAATAAGCAGGGATTCCCCCACAACATGAAGTTCGTTCAGGGCAACTATGTCCTGGATGACGATGTGCTGCTGGAAATTGAGCGACCACAGTTTGATATTATTCTCTGCCTGTCTGTCACCAAGTGGATCCACCTTAACTTCTGTGATTCCGGCTTGAAGCAGGCCTTCCGCCGCATGTACCTGCAGCTGCGCCCGGGCGGCAAGCTGATCCTGGAGCCTCAGTCCTTTGACGGCTATAAGAGGCGCAAGAAGCTATCGGTGAGTCTCACTAGAAAGCCTAGTAATTTCTTAGCAAAAGTCTAATCCAGTAGTCGGATACTCATGATTATACTCATAACAAATCTGGCAAAATTATTGTTTACAAACTTGTCCTTAGACTTTGCTCTTAGGTTCGAATTTCCGTATTAAAGTCACCTTTTTTTCAGGAACAAATAAGAGAGAACTACAACGCTATTAAATTCAGACCTGAACAATTCACAGAATATCTGCTTAGCTCAGAAGTAGGCTTTGCCAAAATGGAACCCATGGGCACACCCGAGCACTGCGAAGCCGGATTCAAGCGACCCATTCAAGTTTTTACAAAAACATAAAATAATAAAAACCAGAGTAAACTTGATCCAAAGAAATGGTCGGAAAAACTTTTAATAAATATAAACAGCAAGAAGGAAGTCCTTGACATCGAATCAGTACTACTTTGAACGTTTTGCTTTAATGGGAGAACTTGGTATCTTTTCTAAGATGTCGGGAATCTTTTTCAGCAAGTCTATGTCGTTTAGTTGGAAATCGCTATCTGCCCAAAGTAGCCTAAGTTCTTCCAGAACAAGACCTAGCCGTATTTTCTTAAGACCATGCTCAGCCAAAGTATTGCCTCTAATCGGAAACTCCGGCTGTACCCAAGACTTAAGCTGATTGTAAAGTTCAAGTTTGTTGGAGTACTTCAGCAACTGTTCCACGTAATCTCGTTGGATGTACTTCTTCAAGCAAAGTTTCTGGTAGTCGCGCAGGGTCGTGTAATCTGTGTCCACCTAAAAGACGGAGTTTAAATTATGAGTTATTTGAAACACAAGCCGTGGTCTTCATTACCTTCTCTCGCTCCTGCGTGATGAACCTAGCCAGGTCCCGTTCGTAGGCGGATAACTTTAGGCGTTTGTGCATAGCTATGGCATCTTCCACCGAGTGCAGCATCCCTGCAATGTACAAAATGGGATAATGCGGCTTATCGAAGTTCTTCAGGGCTTCACAAAGTCGCTCGTATTCTTCCAGGTTGGGCTCAACAGGCAGCCCAATGTGCTCAAAAAGGTTACAACGGTGCATCTCCAGTAGCAGCTCGGATCCGTAATTGCCCACCACAATTTTTTGCAGTTCCGTCCATATCCGTTCACCGCTTATCTTTGCAAGGCCTCCCGCATTCTCCTTTACAGCAGCCAAAGTGGCCTCGTCGTGGTTATTTTCATCCTTAGCAATGCGCCCGTAAAAACGGAAGTAGCGCAGGATGCGAAGGAAGTCCTCCTTAATCCGGATACCCGCTTCGCCTACAAAGACCACACGACGCTCCTGCAAATCGTCGAAGCCATAAAAGTAGTCGTAGACGGTGCCATCGAAGCCCAAGAACATGGAGTTAATCGTCAAATCACGGCGGTTCGCGTCCAGTTGCCAGTTGGTGGTATATATCACCTCCGCATGGCGTCCATCGGTGCGTATGTCGATTCGCAGCGTGGTCACCTCGAAGTTCTCCTTGTCATTAATCCGAGGAGTAATAGTTCCGTGTTTTTCTCCATTTGCGTTGATCATCCGCACCTCCTCCTTCTCGAACATCGCTTTCATCTGGTCTGGAGTGGCGGTGGTGGCCAGGTCAATGTCTTTTGGCGGAATGCTCATCAGTATGTCGCGCACAGCCCCGCCTGCAATCCGCAGCTCGTAGTCGTACTTCTTAAACATAGCCTCCAGCTCTTTCAGCTCGGGCGTGAATATGCTTTGGAACTCTGGAGATTTCACCTTTCGGAATGCCGGATTCTTGCGCATCCTGGGCAATTTCCCTAGCTGGGCGATCAATTCGGGGGAGGCATCTCGTGGGCGAACCGGACACGGCGACATGCGACCGGCCATGGTCTTCATCCAGCGACTACTTTGTCGGACGTTCAACGCCAATGAGGCAAACGCACGTGTGGTCAGCTTAACGAGGCGGCGTGGGCCATTCATGGAGAGGTTTTGCCAAGCTTTACTTTTCCAAACACTCCTGCCTTTGTGTGTGATTTGTAAGCAACGGAACTATCGAAAAAGTTAAGATTAAATGTTTTGAGTTTGAGTTTCGTTACCAAATGTAATTTACACCCAGTATTTAGAGGGTATAATCATTTTGCAACTGGTACTTGTTTAATATGCAACTCTGCCAGTCAATTATAATAGATTTATTTGTGTTTGCATTGCAGATGTTCTTAAACCAACATTACTGCTGTACAAAAAACAAATTTCTAGATTAATAATTGTTATTTTTGTTGCTATTTTTAATAAAAATTACATAATTTAAATTTACATAAGTTCATAAATCGCTCCAGAAAAAAAAAATCCAAATTGTCACCCGAATATAGATCAGGTTTCATTGAGCTATAAATAAAGCAATAATATTTAGAGTTAAGGCATGGATCAGAATGCAAAAATTTAAACTTTACTTAAGGAACAGTAATCCTTCATATATAATGCATATATTTATACAGGGTATTCTGTGACCGAGTTTTCCAACTTGTGTGCACTTTATTGCTTAGGGGTATTTTTGAAATACCGAATTCGGGCACACTTATGGAAACCTGTTACTTTGTTTACCGTCTTCTTTTTCCGGAAATTTGAATAAATGCCACCGCGATTGGTACTCGCTCAAGTCAGAAACTTCTTGCAACTAGGACACCGAACTCGAAGGATGAGCTCCAAACCAAGTGTGTACGTGACTCGACCAGATGTGGACGATAGCGGTCTGGAATTGCTGCGCAAGAGGTTTGTTTTTATTGCTGCCGGCTAATTAGCATATGTGCTAATTGTAACGTGCATGACATTTTCCAGCTGCCAGGTCAGCACTTGGCATGAGACTTTTCCTGTTCCCCGCTCCGAACTGATCCGCGAGGTGGCCGGAAAAGATGCCCTCTACTGCGCCCTAACCGACAAGGTCGACAAGGAAGTTCTGGATGCTGCCGGTCCACAGCTGAAGTGCGTGGCCACCATCTCTGTGGGCTACGACCACATCGATGTAGAGGAGTGCAGAAAACGTGGCATTCGAGTGGGCTTCACACCGGACGTGCTGACGGATGCAACGGCGGAACTGACGCTTGCCCTCCTCCTAGCCACCAACCGGCGCTTGTTTGAGGCCAACAGACAGGTTTACAATGGCGGCTGGAAATCGTGGGCCCCTATGTGGATGTGCGGCCAGGGGCTGAAGGGCTCCCGGGTGGGTCTTCTAGGCTTTGGACGCATCGGCCAAGAGATTGCGGCACGCATTGTGCCCTTCAAGCCCGCAGAGATAACCTACACGACACGCACGGCAAGACCAGAGGAGGCGGCTGCTGTTAATGCCCGACACGTCGACTTTGACGAGATGATCCGCAACTCAGACTTTATCGTTGTCTGTTGCGCCCTAACGCCACAGACCAAGGAGATTTTCAATGCATCGGCCTTTCAAAAGATGAAGTCCAACTGCATCTTTATCAACACTGCTCGAGGTGGGGTTGTAGACCAGAAGGCCTTACACGATGCTTTGACAACAAAGCAAATTCAGGCCGCTGGTCTTGATGTCACGACGCCGGAGCCATTGCCACTCGACGACCCCCTTCTCAAGCTGGATAACGTGGTTATTCTCCCGCACATTGGTAGTGCTGACATCGAAACACGCAAGGAAATGTCCCGCATTACGGCTCGAAATATAATTGCTGGTCTAGCTGACAAAAAAATGGAAGCCGAAGTATCATTGTAAATGCAAAGCATTCTAAGTATATTTTTCGATCCAAATGTTTTTAAAACTGTTTTATTTTTTAATTAAAAACATATTTCTAAAATCATAAAAAATTACAATATCTTGAGTTCGATGCGCTTAAGTTAAAAAAAACTATGTTACATATGTCGATTTTTCCAATCAGGTTCCGATCGTTCCAATGGCAAGATCGACTTGTCGTTCAGGAATATGTATATCTCATGTGGTTGAAAATGCGTTACTGCGTTACAAACTTCTGACTCAAATTATAATATTTTCTGGTACATTTATAGATTTACTTATTATTTTTAAATACAACTTAATTAATTCGCTTGGAGAATCTTGTCTTTATTAAATAAAATAAATATATCTTACTTAAGATCAATTGACATTGTCGACATACATATGTTAAAATATTTATACTTGTACCCTATACACTGAATTTAAATTACCCATCTGCAGCTGAACTCTCCAATGACCTTAAGGATAATGCTCCCACGATTGATAATTCGAAATTTTTGGCAGCTAGGATTTCATTCGATGCCGTTTAGCTCCAAGCCCAGTATTTACGTGACGCGGCCTGATATGGATCCTAGCACTATGGAGTCATTGTGTAACAGGTTTTTACCATTAATATTAGAGCTCATATAAATAATATGAAATGCCGTTCAACAGCTGCCAAGTAAGCACTTGTGATAAACCATTGCCAGTACCTCGCGATGAGCTTATCCGCCAGATTTCGAGAAAAAATGCCCTGTTTTGCACCATATTTGAGAAGATTGATAAGGAAGTACTAGATGCTGCCGGCTCCCAGCTAAAGTGTGTGGCCACCTACTCGGTGGGCTATGAACATCGACGTTGAGGAGTGCCAAAAGCGGGGAATTCGCGTGGGATACACTCCAGGAGTGCTAACGGATGCCACGGCGGAGCTAGCAGTTGCTCTCCTTTTAGCCGCCAACCGGCGACTGATCGAGGCCACAAAGCAGGTTTACAATGGCGGCTGGAAAGACTGGGCGCCCATGTGGATGTGCGGCAAGGGTTTGAAGTGTTCGCAAGTGGGTTTTTTCGGTTTTGGTCGTATTAGCCAGGAGATAGCTGCACGCATTTTCCCTTTCAAGCCCGCGGAGATAACATACACGACCAGAACGAAACGAACGAAGGAGGCGGAGGCAGTCAATGCCAGCCATGTGGAATTTGATGAGATGCTTTCCAAATCCGACATTATTGTGGGCTGCGCCGCTCTAAACCCTCAGACTAAAGAGATCTTCAATACAGCTGCCTTCCAGAAAATGAAATCCAACTGCATATTTATTAATATAGCTCGTGGCGGAATTGTAGATCAGATGGCCCTGCTGGAGGCGTTAGAATCAAGGTGTATTCAAGCCGCAGGCCTCGATGTTACCACTCCAGAGCCCCTGCCCTTGGACCACCCTCTCCTCAAGTTGGACAACGTGGTTATTCTTCCCCACATCGGCAGCGCCGAGATTGAAACCCGCAAAGAAATGGCCCGGATCACGGCCCGGAATATTCTGGCTGCCCTTTTGGGTGAAAAAATGGTAGCTGAAGTGAATGTGTAATATAAACTTTGTCTTATTCAGTAAATTGGGGATGTCTATGAGCTAACAAAACAATTGAGTAGAAGCTAATCCTCGCCAGGCGGCAAAGGTTGGTTTAGATCGCTGGCGCTGGGCGGGGGAACAGGCAAGGGCACCAGGGACGTCAGCACGGGCACTGTCGATATAACGCCGATTTCTGACGGATCCTGCACCTCCTTCTTGATATGCTCTGCGCTAATGTAACCACCACTTTCGTCCTAAAATGGAGTGCAACAAAACGTTAATGAAATCATGTGACACCTTTAGATTTTCAGAATACAATATTGTAAAGCGCTAAATGTTAACTTAATAGTTACCGTAACGAATACATCCACCGACTTTCCGGAGATTATGTCCAGCACCTGTTGGGTAATGCCGCTGCCATTCATCGGCTCATCCTGCATGCTCTCTGCGTATTCCGACAAAGCTGGTCTAAGATCGGGGCACTGCAGCAGTGCGTCCACCAGCTGAGCGGGAGGAAGGTGCAGCAGAATCGGCATGGATTGCGGCTTAAGACGCTGTACAGTTTTCAGGAAGCCCTCCCAGATGACTTTTTGCCGCCAGACCTGCTTCATGATCAGTCGCTGCAACAAGTTCATTACAAAGTTGGCAAGGCGCGGATACAGAGTAAGGCTCTGGATGGTTGTGCGCATCATCAGAGTAGGCAGTGGGATGACCTCCACCAGCTGCTGGAGCACAGCCATAAGCACCTCCTGGGTGTACAACTCTCTTTCGGCCAAGCACAGTGACGTGGCCTTGACGATGGCCTTCAGGTCACATACACTCGAGTCAATCGTATGCAGAGCCACCAGAATATCCGTGGGGGACAGGGCCATCGTTTGATGAGCGAACTCAGCGCCAATGCCTAGCAAACGGTTGAAGACCTCTTTGACCACGGCGGGGTTCAGTTTAATCAACTTGGGGAGAACGGCGATCAGCTCGGAGCGGGACAAACCACTCAGTACGGGTATCATTACTCGCACATCCTTGACCTTGTTGTGGTAGAGATCACGCACCCGTCGGACCAAATCCTCTCGGGGCACGGGTACTCGTTCCGTCAGTATGTAGATAATTCGGATTACCAGGGTCTCCATGCCCTTGGGGCAGCTCTCGATAAGATGGAGCAGTGTATGGTTTTCCACACCCAGCTTCTTTATAGGATTATCCAGGCTACGCAGGATGGTGCGCTTCAGTTCAGCGGAGGTGGCCACGAACACTTGACAAATTTGTTCCACATAAACTAGAAAGACAAGGATGTATTGGTATTTAAAAAAATGAAATTATATAAATAGGCTTCTTTGTTCGCAACCTCTTTAAATTTATCTATATTCGGTTTTATTGGAACAAGTTCAAAATGAACACCGATTAATTGTATTTTTTTGGTCTAATTTACATATTTTGTACTGCTTCGGTAATTATTTCACGAAGTTCGATATGACTGCAGTGAAGCGATAACACCAACGGGCAAAAACCATGTTGAATGAAGAAAATATGTATAACAATAAAATTCGCCGAACAGAATGAAAAATTTTTGAAAAAAAAAGGTGATTATTGAAAAATTTGTGTGAAAACTTACCCTCCGGCTTGTAGGGCATTAGGGTAAGTGCCAAACCAAGGCACACCTTGGCCGTATCCTCCCGCCAGGCTGATTCTGCTGTTGGTCGACCAAACTCTTGCGAGAAAACTGCGACCGGAGGCGCGTCCTGCTCCACAAACTTTATCCACTCCAAAGCGAATTCGTCAATCCGGGCTGGAAGGATTTTGTGAACATGGTAAAGACTAACAAGGTGGGTCAGTGCTCGATCCCGAAGGTCAGCCCGCTCGTGTACGGAGAAGTGGAGCAACGCTCGCACAAAGCGATTTTTTCGCGGAGGCCTGAGCACGGCCAAGTCCTTAATCAGCTCCAATCCGTGCTGGGAGAACTCATCGACCAAGCTAAGCTGAACAAGATGCCCAATTGAATCTTCCGGCAAGATGGGTGCCTCTAGATAAACGCGACGTATGAGTATAATCTTATCCTTGTGATCACAACGCTCTCCAATGCCAAAAATGAGCTTATTTAGCAACTCGTTGTAGGCGTGATCGGGCCGATTCTCTGTCTTTACGTAGGTATGCCTTGTGAATCCTTGCAGCAGGGAGTACTCCTCAAAGAGCCAGGAGAAGGCAAGGTCAATGCGCTGCTTCACATCCTCCAAGATAAACTCCATGATGCCATAACGGACGTTGTCCGGAAAGGTGGCCGCAATTACGGTGACCAGCTTGCGACGCCTAAAGGACACACCTCCCTTTATGCACTGGCGCTCCGAGTTAAGAATCCGACGCACTGCTTCTGTAAGGAATTTCTCCTTCAGATTTCGCGACAGAGGCTTGGTAATCTCCTGCAGCTTAAGCGTCTTGGCGCGCTCCTTCATCTTTTCGATTACAGTCTGCTCGCCCTTAGCGCGCTCCATGGTCTCGCGCAGCTTCTTGGTTGCCTCCTCCTTCCGCTGCAGCTCTTCCTCACTCAGCTTTGGGACAGATTCCTCTTCCACTTCCATGGGAGTAGATGCTGACTCATTAGCCAGCATTTTTTTAATCCTCATGGGCGGCTCCCGACTGAAGGTTGCGGCACCTGGACCGAGGCGTTTTTCTGAAAGCTGCTCACCGAACATTTTCGAAATGTTGGTCACCTGCTGTTGGATGGACATTTGTCGGATGGGCGTGTATTCCTCGAGAAACTTTTCAGGGACTTCTACTGGCAGACTGGGCAGGAACTCCACCACCAGACTCACTACAGTTTCCGGATTGCGGAGATGTTCAGCCAGGAACTTTTCATTGACACGGGTGGACTTTTGCTTTTGCCGCTCCAACTCCTCGGTATCCAACTCCATCTCCCGCTGTTGCTGCTCGCGCTGCTCGCTGGCCAAGCGTGCTCGCTTCGCGAGACTTTGTGCGGCATTTTCTAGAATGCGTTTTTGTCGCCGAGCCATCTCCTGCTTGTCCATCTTGGGCATCAGCTTCTGAATCTCATTTGTCGAAGAACCCAGGTCCACTAGCATTCCTCGAATAGTGCCTGAGAACTCAAAGGCGCCGCGATTCTTCATCAGTGTTTGCAGCTGCATTTTAAGACTCTTACGCACGGAGCTCACCTGCGAGTCAGTGAGAGTGGGCGGCAGGTTAGCGTTTAATTGCTTGAAAGCATCCACTACGGCGCCCATAAAGACGGGACGCATTTTTGCCACCGTGCACAGGCTGCTTGTGCAGGCAATCAAGTTTACTGAGGAAATATGAGTGGTGCCGTGGAACTGAAGCAATATATCGAATATGTTATTGCCCTCCTCTTGCAGCTTTTGGCGTCTGAAGAGCTTGCAATGATCGGGGACATCGCCCAGCGAGAAGTCTCCATCCCGTTTAAGACTATCCTCGTCAGCAAAGCTCTGCAGGACAACCACGCCCTCCAGAAACTTAATAGCGTTGGTGCGTATGCCGTCGTTTTCGTTGTCGATCATGTCCAGAATCTGAGCCTTGATCAGGCTTAGGATGTTCCATGCCTGCTCCGCACTGTCACCAGGTTCCATGAGGTTGCACAAGTGCTGCAATCCATTTTTGTAGATGCTTCCGCAGGCCTGAATCACTCGCTTGATCACTTGTGCCGAGTTATCCCTCAGTAGCATAGACACGATGTTGATGACATGAGGCAGTAGCTCCACCTTCACTTTGCTGGAATGGAAGTAATACGTTGGAGTAATCAGGTCCCTTAATTTTGATTGTCATTTTACCACACTTGCTCCACAAAGGCGACCACCTGCTTACGGACTTCCATGTTCTGGTCATGGGCCAAGGATAGCACTGGCTCCAGGAACTCCTCTGCCAGCTCTACGCAGGATCCCAGGATAGTCTCCTGCACCTTCACCAGCAGTTCGCATTTGCTTGCAGCCGAAGCGATGGCCAGTTCATTACACCACTCAACCACCTGAATGGGAAAATATATAGTCAATACAGCCAACATTGCTCATTTGGGAACCATTTCTTACCTTCGCCCTAGCAGTGGCCGTTTTTTCGTCTGTGAAGAGATTGGCCGTCTCCGAGACGAACTGGCTACGTCCAATTATGCTGTCCATGATCGGTCAGTTCCAGCAGATTTCTCCCAAATGTACAAAGAATTTACAAAATGTTCAAGAGCTGCCGGCACAGATGGCAAGCGGTTAACCGATAACCTTTGAGTAACTTATCGAAAACGGCTTAGAGGGGTTGGCAAATTGGGCTATTTCACGCCAAATCTAAATATTGTAGGAAAAAATGTTTTTGTTGTATATATTTACATTCTATTGGTATTCTATTCGTTTAAAACTATTAAGGTAAATACTTGATCTCATAATTGGGGTGCCACAGAAATTTATTAATATGGGTTACAAATTTAGCATTAGATTGATAAGATTGACAACTTACCGCGAATCTATTTCAATTATTCAATTATACTTATTATTTGATTTTATAGTCGATTTTACATGAAACAGCAAACAGCTGAACAGGATTAAACAATTCAAAATTTAAGTGCTTAGGGAATACCCCAAATCTAGCCTTTTTCATCAATTTAAGATCTGCATAGCTATCGATAGCAAGATGCACTGCTGGCCAGCGATATGAGGGGGTGACTATCGATAAGCCAGAGGCATCGATTTGCTCACATTTCTTGGGTGTTTTAGCGTGAAAAAACGCCTAAATAAACGAATCGGCATAGTGTCAGGCCAGAAAGTCCAACCAACGGATCGCCGTTCGCGCCGCAGTCGAGGATTGGAGCAGCCGACGCCAACGAAGGCGCCGAAAAAACGTAGCACCAGCCGTCAGCCGTCGCAGCCGAGTGTTTACTGGGCAAGGGGTACAGCGGAGGAGGGAGTGGGAGTTCGTGCGTGTGTATGTGTGCGCCAGTGAGTGGGCAGAGGCAGCGGCAGAGGAGCAGCAGCGGATGTAGCTCGTTGCCCGGACCCCGCAGTGGATACCACGAAAAGCGATCGTAAACGTACGTAGGCCAACTTGGAGGCACAAAGAAAATAAACACTGGAAACCGAAGACGAGGCCTTCTGGAACAGAAAAGCTCAACAGCCGCAGCCGCGTCGGTGACCGCACCCTAATGTCAAATAGCCAAGCAAATGCCGGCAACAGCGGTAGCGCGGTAGCGGATGAACCGAGCCAGCACCACCCCCCCTTGACGGCCGCACCAGCAAATGCATCCTGCCCAGCAGCGACGCCAGCGTCGCAGTCGACGCAGCTGCCGGCGCCGCAGTCGCAGCAGGCGCCCCCGCACATAGTTGGTGCCTCAACAGCTGATGCAGGCAGCGGCGTTGCGGTCGGTGTTAGCGAAGGTGTCAATCTGGACTCGTCGCCACGCGAGTCTGGTGACGATTCGGAGGATGAGAGCGAGATCCTGGAGGAGTCGCCCTGCGGACGCTGGCTGAAGCGGCGAGAGGAGGTGGACCAGCGCGACGTGCCCGGGATCGATTGCGTCCATCTGGCCATGGACACCGAGGAGGGCGTGGAGGTCGTGTGGAACGAGGTGCAATATGCCAGCCTGCAGGAGCTTAAGTCGCAGGAGGAGAAGATGCGGCAGGTGTTTGACAACCTGCTGCAGCTGGACCACCAGAACATCGTCAAGTTCCACCGCTACTGGACGGACACGCAGCAGGCGGAGCGGCCCCGGGTGGTCTTCATCACCGAGTACATGTCGAGCGGGTCGCTAAAACAGTTCCTCAAGCGCACCAAGCGCAACGCCAAACGGCTGCCTCTGGAGTCGTGGCGCCGCTGGTGCACCCAGATCCTGTCCGCGCTCAGCTATTTGCATTCCTGCTCGCCGCCCATCATCCACGGCAACCTAACCTGTGATAGCATCTTCATCCAGCACAACGGCCTGGTCAAGATCGGCTCGGTGGTCCCGGACGCGGTGCACTACAGCGTTCGGCGGGGCCGCGAGCGGGAGCGGGAACGCGAGCGGGGCGCTCACTACTTCCAGGCGCCGGAGTATGGCGCCGCCGACCAGCTGACCGCCGCGCTCGACATCTACGCCTTCGGGATGTGCGCCCTAGAAATGGCCGCCCTGGAGATCCAGCCCAGCAACAGCGAGTCGACTGCCATCAATGAGGAGACCATCCAGCGCACAATCTTCAGCCTGGAGAACGATCTGCAGCGCGACCTGATACGGAAGTGTCTCAATCCGCAGCCGCAGGATCGGCCCAGCGCCAACGATCTGCTTTTCCACCCACTGCTATTCGAGGTGAGCTAACACTCGAATCAACAAGTTCTCAATTTAAGTTCCGCATGACAATTGCCTTGTTAAGTGGACTGTGTAACCTAATTATCTGATACATTTTGGGAAAGTGAGTTTCAGTATGGTATTGTTTATTTAATCAATTTCAATTTCTGTATTTAAATAAACCAAAACTATACGGAGTGTCAAGGAAAAAAAAATTCAAGAAAGATCTTTCAGAAAGTCTCCGAATTTTTTATAACACAGAAAAACTAAGATTTCCGTAGCATCTACGATTTTAAAGAACGTTGTTTAGGAAGATTTGTGGGACCCTTTTAGTTATGTATTTATTTATTATTTACCCGTATCAGTAAAAGCAACAATAAAATGTTGTTCCAAATAGGAAATAGCTGGAGCACAACAAATTAACCTCTCCCAGAAAGTTTTTCTTGTTGCACTGTTTTTAAAATGTATCTTAGAAATTATCCTAAATATAACCTATTTTAATTTTTTTGACTTAGTATAGATTAGTTTGTGAAACCCACGATTTTTATGGTCTGAATAAGATTATATTGAAAACATCTCAGATTAGATATCAGACAAGAATAAATATGACTTGCTACTCATCCTAATCCAAATATATGGATGTTTTCAACTAATACAATATCCCTTGTTATTAAATTTGGCCATTTTTGAGAAAGTTATTTATGTTTATATGATATGTCATTGTTTGTTTATTTTTAAAATGTAATGTGTCTGCAGTCTTGAATCAAGAGAAGTTAATGATTGGTGGTCCTAATTCTTTCATCCGTTTTGTGGATTGTGTCTTATTAAATTGGTAAAGTTTAAGTGGCTTAGTATTTGATTTATAATTTTCTTTTTTAGGAAAGGTTAAAATAAATATACTATAAACTATTTATTTTTAATTAAATAAATAAACCAGGATTTAATCTCATTTGTTGCTCACGCAGGTGCACTCCCTCAAACTGCTGACTGCCCATTGTCTGGTCTTTTCGCCCGCCAACCGCACCATGTTCTCGGAAACCGCCTTCGACGGACTGATGCAGCGTTACTACCAGCCGGACGTGGTTATGGCCCAGCTTCGGTTGGCCGGCGGCCAGGAGCGGCAGTATCGCCTGGCAGACGTTTCGGGCGCCGACAAACTGGAGAAGTTCGTTGAGGACGTCAAGTACGGTGTGTATCCGCTAATTACGTACAGCGGCAAGAAGCCGCCCAATTTCCGTTCGAGGGCTGCCTCCCCGGAGCGAGCTGACTCCGTGAAGTCGGCCACGCCGGAGCCGGTGGACACGGAGTCACGGCGCATCGTAAACATGATGTGCAGCGTGAAAATCAAGGAAGACAGCAATGACATAACCATGACAATACTGCTGCGCATGGACGACAAAATGAACCGCCAGCTAACATGCCAGGTCAACGAGAACGATACGGCGGCGGATCTCACCAGCGAACTTGTGCGCTTGGGCTTCGTCCATCTTGACGACCAAGACAAGATCCAGGTGCTGCTGGAGGAGACGCTGAAAGCAGGCGTTATGAGCGACGGTGCCGGGGCAGAGAGTTCAGGTGCCGGGGTTACCACCACAGCGACCATGGCGGCCTTAGAGCAGCTGGAGCGCAATTGGTCGATTTCCTCGGACACGGACAAGCAGGGCACTGCCGTGATGTATGTACCGCAGGATCAGCAGCACCCGGATCTGGACGTGGACGTGGAGCAAATGGGCACGACGAGCAATTGAAAGTATCAGCTTAGTATTCAGGGCAGGCCGGCGCGTATTGTTTTTATTGTATTGGGAAATTACACATAACGATTTTATTACTGCTATTATTTGTTATTTTTATATATATACCTATATATATGTATATGTATGTATGTATTTGAAATAATATTTATGTATGTATGTACCATAAACGATGTTAAACCAGGCTTCCAGGCTAAACAATTCGATGACATAGACACACAAACCACACAAGAGGTGGGTCGACTCGCAGAAACTGAAAATGATATATGTTCTTTAACCCGCAATCTGGGACTTAGGAACTCTAAATATAAAATTAATTGTGTTTTTGATAACGTAGAAGGAAACCCGAAAACCGTAACCGAAAAATGTAGAAAATATTTGCGGTTAAACATTCTTTGCTTGCCTGCTAAATACATTGTTAGTGTTATAGTTTCTTTGGCAAAATTGATTAGAATTGTTTCGATCTGATGTTCCGGACCTAGGATTTTTACTAAAATTTCGATCCACCAACAACACACTTTTGAATATACGCAGCTAACTAGCTTACAAAAATCAAAGCATTCGCTAATCATAACTCTGGAAAAAGCGCGAATGGAATTCGCCGCTCCCAAAGCTAGACACAACTCGATTACGAAAATCCAGATACCCTCAGATTTCGAAAAAATCATCTAGACGCCACTTCGAAGGTGATTTTTTCTAGGACTATATCAAATTTGATAAATTAGCCATGCCGCGACGAGAACAAAACGTAAAACCGCAGTGGAATGTATTTAAATGTATTACAAATATAAACAAATACGCAAGGCCACGAAAAATAATAAATAAATTATTTAACTAAAAACCTATATAAACACAAGCAGAGCATGCAACAAAAATAATACACAACAGACATAGCTACACTATTATTAAATAAATAAAGATGGCAACCAGCTGACAAATTTTAAAGTCGTTTTCTTTATTTTTTTAAATTTGTTTAGTTTTTGTAAATAATAATGTGTGATTAACGCGCTATGCGAAAAATAAATTGGATAAACGATCTCAACTATTTAGATAAATTCAGTTAAAAAAAAGAAATTCTGAGGATTTTTAAGTGAAAGAAATAAATTTTCAGTAGTCACAGTAGGTGATGGAGCTCAAGACACTAGTTGTAAATCCCCTACATCATTTTAAGAAAAATGAATACTTTATTTTGGTTTGTATTCATACGTACATAAATGTAGGTTACATTTATGTTTCATTAAGTAATAAACCTTGAGTGGGATTCTTTTGAATTTCATCGACTTTTAGGCTATAGAAATAAAACTTAAGCACACGCCTTGACAGCCTCGGCCTCTTTGGGCTCTGGGGTGGCCAGCTTAATGCGCTTGCACTGTCTCTCCTCCGATTCCTCATCACTGAAGACTTCTGTTGCTGCGGTGGTTGAAGGTTTCTTCTCACGCTGCTCCTTATCATCACTCAATACTAATACCTTTCGAATCGGTTGCTCCTCCTCGTAGAGATCCAAAAGCTTGTTGCCTTCGTACAGGACGAAGGGCAAAGTAGCTCGCTGATAATAGTCCGGCAGTAACTCTAAGTTGTTGATCACCGTGTCCAGCATGTGAGACTTCTCACACCAGATGCCTGGAGCGTCGTTCTTAACCGGATTAATGTGCACATGCAGGTGGTAAAAAGACGGCTGGTAGTGGAAGTACATGCGTAGCTGGTTGGGATTCAGGCCGTAGCGCTTGGAAATTGCGTCCTTCGACGACTGGCGTAGATTACGCAGCAGATCAAGGTGGCTCCCGTTCAGATCCCGAAGTGATTTGATGTCATGCTTGTGGACAATGCCCAGCAGGTAGAGGTTTTCCACATTACGCCCGTCCCATTTGAGGTCGGGCAGTAGGATGAAGCCAGTCTCGGGATCCTCGTCCTCAAACACGATCCGTTCCTTCTCCTGCTTGTGATCGAGTATGTTGTAGACCCAATCTAGGGAGAACTGGCTTGACGTCAGATAGGGCTTCGTTATCTTTTGGTAGAGATCAGGCGTTTCCCGAATGAGATATTTCTGGCAAACGGAATATTTTTCGATGTGCTTGTCGGTGGCGGGATATATGACTGTGCTCTTTACGGCTGTGAAAAGGGAGAATATTTATAAGATTGGATTGATTTTGTAATAAAATAATTTAGTCCGATTTAAAGTAAGGTTTATAGGGTAATACTTGCCGCACAAATCTCGGCTGGGCACAACCTGAAAACTGCCGTAAATATTATTGATAAACTCAGTCGCCACCTTCAATTCCGCGTTAAAATAACTGGGTTTCTTTGGAGACTCCTTAGTTGGCGGCTCGGCCGTGGCCACATCGCTTTCCCGGTAAGCTGCAGAAGGATTTAAAATATATATGTATGTAGAGCACTTTTTACTTTTAATTGACTACTCACCATTTTTCTCAAAGACAACAATTGCATCGTCAGTTTCCGATAGGTCAGGAAACGTACCGAGGAGGGAAATGCTTTTCCTCACACTGTTGTTGGTTAATATCCGCTTCAGCCGGAACTTGGACAAATCGTACGACGGCGACTTTACCTCTGCACTTTCAACTGGTTCCGGCATTTTATTATTATTGAATTAATAAATTATTAATGTTTTTAATGTTTCTTGCGGCTTTTTCAGAGACGCAGCGTGACCGTAGCTGGGGTCTCAGAAATTTACCTTCAGTATGCCAAATCTAGATTAACTTGCTTCATCCATTTACCGAAGACTCAAACCAGGGAAGAAAACTTGAACGAAACGGACATAACGGTTTTTTATGCAAAAGCGGTGAGAAAACCTTCTTGAGTTACTTAAGTATAACCCATATTTTAAAATATTTACAATTTCGAAGTCAAAATTTCGTTGTTAAATTCTCATTTATTGTGTATAGGCCATTAAAGTACTGTTTATGAACTTTATAATATGTATCTGTATAAACGACTACATCGCAACACCAAGTGCTTGCCAAACATGTTCAGAACATTCATAATCATTTTGAGCTTAACACTAACACACATTTTGCACTTACATCTAAAGCCGATGTACACAAACAAATGGGTATTAAAATTGGTTTCAGCGCTGGCTGTAATGATAATTACACAACAACACCTTTGGAGGGCTTAGCGCCCAATATGTCCGATAGCTTTTGCTGATAGGAAGCCAAGAGATTGGCGTCTGTTATGCCGAAGGACTTGCAGGACAATTGCAGGGCGTTGAGCAACTGCATCTCTGAGAACTGAGTACCCCGCTCTAGCAATGCATTTAGTATTTCCTGTGGGAAATTAGAAAGTATTATAGAATAAATTTGAAGAATGAAGCGATCTTTCTTACATCCGGCTCCATGCAAAGCAGCTCATAGAAGTGTTTGGCCTGATCCAAAGCCACTTCCCTTGATGCGGTTATGTTACTCAGCGTCTGCTGAAGGGCGATCGAGTTCCTGCACATGCGCTGGACAGTTATTTGATCGATGTGCTCCAGATAATTGGAGGCCTGGATAAGAATGCGCGATGCCAAGTGCGCCAGGCCTTCGAAAATGTACTGCAGAAAATACATTGTTAAAGAAAGTGAAGTCGGGGATTAAAATAAGAAGCTTACCCTGGTCTTTCTTGGATGGAGAGTGGCACTAAAGGCTTCATCCATTTCCGAAAGCCGTTTGGTCAACAATTGCACCTGACGATCCGGTTCTAGGATGTCATCCTTGGAGCCCACATAGCTGTTAGTCCTCACACTCGACTTTGAACGTAGGTAGTGAAAGCATTGTACGCGCACCTCAAGATGCAGCACCAGCAGACAGGTGTTCGCCAGTTCATCGAACTCCAAAGCCAGGTTAGTCATCACTTTAATCGTGCCATCCTTAACGGCGATGTCGGCACTGCACTCGGCGGAGACAGCGTTCAGGCCGTTTACCATCGGCCGACGTAAATCATTGGCAAACTCCGAGACGCGGCATGAGAACCATTCCATGCTCTCCTGAAGTATCGCCAGCTCCTTAAGAACGCTGATCTCGACCAGAATTTCTTGTTGGGTGATCCCACCCTCACCCAAATTACTGGTCAGCATCTCGGCCTCACGAATGTTGCGCTGCTGCACCTGCAATGGACTCTCCTCCTCCGACGGCTCAAAGCTTCCTCGATGAAGCTTCCGGTTATGACGCGACTTCTGACTGGAGGTCTTCAAGTCCGTCCAGTTCGGAAGCGTTCTAAAAGATGGACAGAAATTTATTTTGAACTCCACATGATTAATTAAATAACACTACACTTACTTTAAAAATCTGCTGATATCTTCATCTTTAAGCCAGGCCACACTGTAAATCCTCTTGTCCTCTGAATCTGGCTGGACGATTCCTCGATAGGCCGCCTGGCAGATCTCTCGATAAGCCTTCAGCAGAGCGCACACCATTTTAAGCAGGTCTTCAGAGTAGCAGGGCAGATCTTGAATAAGGCTCTTGGTCTCCATCAGCCTCCGCTCGACCATCACAGTAGACTGCAGCAAAGGTCTGCTGAGGTTTAGAGCCTTTATTTCCTCAGGACTTATAATAGTGCGCCACGCATCTTGGTTCTTTGACAACGACTCGATAGTCAGCTGCAGGTTGCGGTTGTGGCCTTTGGATAGGAATGTGTCCTTAATATAGTTGTCTAAAAAGTCATGTAGACTGCAGGGTTGACTGGAAATGAAAGAAAAGGTAAAAACATATAACCATACCAGCTATCAAGCATATAAACTCACCCTGGCTTGCACTTCATAAAGTTTTCTATCTCCTTAATATATCCCATTAGAGGAAGATACACTTTGGTTATGATATTCTGATCGGGAGTACAGATCAACAGCTTCTCCCGCTGCTTCTTTTCGTGAGGAAATAGCCCACTGGTGGAGCCCTTGCCACTGCCACCGAGCTGGGCACCAAGATTATCTTCCACGGAGGCATCCGACGCATTGCGACGGTGCTCCTTGAAGGAGTCGCTATTGCCGCTGCTGCCAACATGCGAGGACTTGTCGAACTTAAACATTGAGCGTTTGGTGCTAGTGAGTAGCAGAATAATCGTTAATAACTACGAGTAAGTTGGTAGACTATCTGCTTACCTTGGCACCTTGCGCCTTAAAAAATAGGAATTTATGTTGCTGGTGGGCTCTGAAAAGCCCGTTTGGGCACTTTCATCCGAGGCAGCATTTTGTATATCCAAGTAATCGGTGAGCAGCAGTTGCAACTAAAATAAACAATTGGGTACCCAATTAGAAATGAAAGTCGGTAGAACTTGTATATCCAACACTAACCACTGACTGGGCTTGAGCCCAGAAGTCCGTCAGGTCGTAGGGTTGAGGTCCAACTACCGAGTACTTCTGTCCCACCGACAAATAGTTCTTTAGCAGCAAGGTATGCGTCTTGGCGATTGCCTTGAACTGCTTAAATATGATCTCCAAAAGTGTGAGAAGCGGATTGGCCTCCGCCGTTCCTTCAGTTAGAGACAATTGATGCGTTGTGTGCCGCACCACGTTGAGTAACTCCGTTTGGATTTGGACGCGCAGAGTCTCCAGCGAGTCGGGCACTTTGTGCAGCATTCCGAACGACTCCACAATGATGGCAACGAAGTAGCTCATGCTCAGCTCTGGGTAAATGAGATCTGCGTCTTCAATAACCTCGGTCTTGTCCAAATCAAAGCTCTGGGTCATTTCGGCCAGCGCCTTGTGCACTCTAGCATTGGCCTCGATGCGATCTGTGGAGCGGCGTGCTCCTATTCCACGAGTGAAACTGGAATTTAATCGGCTGGAGTTGCTGCGCTGGAACGATGAGAGAGCTTCGTTGGCAGAGTTAGTGTACACCTGGGTGACCAGTTCCTCGTGGAGCCGCTGATAGAGTTGCTGGCGACGGGTCTGCAGGTCGGTCCGCAGGTCGGACAAGCCCTCTACGGCCTGCAAGGGCCCGTTGAGAGTGGCCAGAGCGTCGGTCAACGCCTTGCTGGCATGCAGATACTGGCGCTTGGCGGTGTAGCCCACCACCCGTTGAGGCACTTTGCGCAGCTCTTGACTAGAATGGGATCGACAAGTTAATGAGGATTTAACGGACGAAAAAGGTAGAGTGGCTTACATTTGCTCCAGCATCTCCAGCACGTACTTGTGCTGGACTGCATCCGTCCACATCTTCCTGAGTTCATCGCGCCGACACTGAAGCAGCCGCTTGCAGACCCCGAGGTTCTCCTTGACAGCATGGATCCGCTCCCGGCTGGCCGTTACCTCCGAGGACACCTGACTGAAGAGCGGCAGCACTTGGGTGAGCTGCTGGTCGTGGCGCGACACCAGCTCGTTCAGCCGCAGATCCGAGCGCTTGAACTCCTGCTCGATCTTTTGCTTCTCCTTCTGGCGCTCCTCTGTGGTCTCGCTGAATCCCAGAGACTTGATGACGTTGACCAGAAAACCACATCCTGCGGACTGCAAAGGCAAGCCGGCCATAGCCATTACTCATTTTTAATCTAAGAAAAAAACATCGCTAAAAAGAGGGCGTGCGGCAACAACAACAACTAGGTGTCGTCATCAACTTTGGACCCGCAGCTCAGGCGGCGGCCCGAAAAACCTTTAGTTAGCAAACAAAACACGACAAGGCGGGGTTTCCAGGTGCGTTTATTGTGTAGAGAGACTAAAATGCGAGTGGAACAGCATTTTCAGCGACGGCTTGAAGAAATTTACCTCATCCTTGCCGTATTTCACTCCCCTCGGAGGCTTTGTTGGCGGGGGGGCGTCCATGTAGACGCTTTTGAAGACGAAGATGTGCTTGGCTGGTTGATAGGAGACGGGGCGGAGGCGGGGCACAGGTTAGCTCAGTATCAACATTATATTTTAGCAATCGCTTATAAATTTGTTGTTAAAAAAAGCACTTAAGCACCAGAGTGACCGTACGTGAACCGATGAAATATCTCAACAACTATAAGCCTGTTAAACTATCGATTACATTGGTGATGGGCACTTTCATAAGGATTGGTAAATTTTCTAATACACAGAAATATTTTATTTGCACTCAAACTTTAAATTAAACTTATTTGGCAAACTAAATTTGTGTTTTATTTTGGAATTAATACACAACTAATCAAATTTAAAGTTTACTTAAAAAATTCTTTAATTATACTTTAATACTTTATTTATTTACCTCCAAAAATAAATGTTTGCAGATAGTATATGAGTCGGAAAAAACAATTCAAAATGATGATAACTTTGTTGTTTTTAATGTTTTTTTTGTTCTTTGGGATTTGGTAATATTTAAATATTATGGAATTACGGTTTAATTAAATAACAAGAAAGGAAAGTTAACTTCGGGCGGAGCCGATGTGGATATACCCTTGCAGAATATTCTGTAAATTATGTTCTCCAAAATATTAACCCATAAAAAATCCCAACTTCCTAACATTAAAAACACCAATTATGGCATTTCCAATCGTTCAGTTATATGGAGGCTATAGGATATAGTCGACCGATCCTTACGAAATTTGGTATGACGGATTGATTGGCCAAATACAAAACCCATAAAAATCCCAACTTCCTAACTTTAAAAACATTATTTCCGATCGTTCAGTTATATGGCAGCTATAGGATATAGGTCGGATTGATTGGCCAATCCTTCACCTACTATTAGAAACCCATTACTCTTATAACCAATTTCAAACAAATTTGACTCCGGCAGATGGCGC